TCCTTCTCAATTCCTCTCCTTCCATTACCAAATCCAAACACCTCTTTATCTCTTGACTTTCAACCATTCCCTTCTCATTAGGCTTCACTCTCACACCAGTCTTCCACACGTCTTCTATCAACTTGGCGTTCGTCCCTTGGTCCGTCCACTGCGGAAACGCGACGACCGGAACTCCACAAACCAAGCTCTCCAACGTAGAATTCCACCCGCAATGCGTCACAAAACACCCCAAAGAAGCGCTCGACAAAACTTCGACTTGGCGACACCATGGCACTATCTTCCCTAGCTTTGACAATTCCTCGTGACAACTTAGTTTCTCTTCTTCTTCTTCTCTTTCCTCGTTTTTCTTTTCACTCTCTTTCTTCTTAGCCTTCTCTCTTATGACCCACAAGAAGGGACGTCCACAATCCAACAACCCTTTTGCGATCTCCTCCATTTGAGGCCTTGATAACTCCACCATGCTCCCAAACGACAGGTAAATGATCGACCCTTTAGGTTTGGAGTTCAACCACTCAATGTAGTTCTGATGATCAACATGGACAAGATCACCTCCGAAGGAAGTATCAGAAGGGTCTTTCCCGTCCAAGAAAGCCGACGGAATCAAGGGTCCGATTGCGATCAAGCTCAGCTTCTCAATCGCTTTCAACGCCTCCAGCTCCAACTGATCAAATGTGTTTACTAGTATCTTGGGATTTTTAATCTTGTCAAGTACTTCAAGCTGTTCTTTGAACAAGGGAATAGCGAAGGAGTAAGCATTAGCGGCGTCCATAAACGACGGAAGATCGCAGCGGGTGAACGTCAACGAAAGCCCCGGTAGTGTCGTTGATGAGTTATGGTCAGTTGAAGGGTCTTTAGTATTGTTTTCTCTGAAGATGTCTCCGTAGCCGTGGAAGTAGTAGTAATAGATGTCGAAAACCGTGGCCGGCTGAATCCATAGGAGGACGGACGGCAGACAGAGCTCCTCTGCTGTCAGCGCGGCCCACGGAAGGAGGAGGGAGTAGACCAAACAGGTGTAAGGGTGTCCCTCTTTGGCAGCGGAGATGACGAGGTCGGAGATGGCCTGCGATCCGCGGCGGCGGATTTCGTTCAGGTAGTGGTCAAAGTCGTCCCCCGCCTTAAACCCGTCGTCGTGTCCATCGGAGAACGGCACGTAGGATATTGACACTCCGCCGTTTCGGTTGGCGGCGGCGGTTGTGTCTCCTCTGCCTTTGGTCATGCGGCGGTGGGCGAAGTACGTGGTGACGAAGGTGACGTCGGCGCCCGCCCCAACTAGGCGCTTGGCGAATTGTAGAACAGGGTTTATGTGGCCCTGCGCGGGATAGGTTACGAGGAGGAAGCGCGGCGGTTGTGTCATAGTTTTCTTGGAAGTTGCAGCGGCGCGTAAAGGGGGGTGAGGCTTGTTTGAGAGTGGGGTTTGGCTTTGGAGCT